ATGGAATTAATCATTATAAGCTTATAAGCTGTGATAGACAATGATCGACACATTAAGCATTGTGCCTGGGACTTGGGAGCACTAGTATATGTTACCAAAACCACCACAAGACCCAGTCCAGTTATGAGCTCATTCTTTGCTACCTCTCAAAATTAAAAAATAATTTTGAATGAGAAGCTAGGAAAAAAACTCTCACAGCTAGTAAACAACAGGACTGAGGCTCCAGCCCAGACATCTGATTCAAGTCCGTGTTACTTCCACTGTCCACCATGTAACTCCTGCACCTGCTAAAGAGGCAAACAGATTAGAGGCCCGGGAAGGGCCTTGATCTTCATATTGGAAAACTGACGCCTGAGAGGAGGCAGTGACCCATGCGAGAGCATTTCGTGCCTGTGACTTCATGATACCCAAGCAGAAAGGCCCTGGTGTCCTGTCATGGCTTTTGTATCTTTGCAGCCTTCTTTTAAAGCCTGACATCCAGGCTTCCTAGCAGAGTTATTCTGGAACTCATCATAGCAGGGATCAGCAGGCCAAGAGAAAGTTGCCTGGGAAGACTTTAGCTGAGGACTCGGGTGCCAGAGCCCCTAGTGAAGACCCCGTAAGCACATGTAGTCCAGGGCCACGCTTGCTTCTAATTTTAGTGCCACTCTCAAGCTCTCTGCCTCTCTGAGCCATCTTCTTAGCTGCTCAGCAGGCGACAAGTTTTTGTTAAGGAATTGCTGACTTCGTTCCTGTGGGCAGGTGTCCCCTTGCAGAGACAAGTGTTGGTTGGTGGGAACATTTCCTTTGGGTCTGGAATGATCAGAGCAGCAGACGCACCCCTTAGGCAGAGGGCGGCTCTGCTCCCAGACACATTCCTTAAGACCATGGTTCACCCTCGTGGGCAGGTATGGCCCAGGGCAGGCGGGGCTTTGGGGGGGGCGGCGCTATCTGGAAATGGAGGCAGCAAGGGGAGCTTTGGGTCTGGGTTTGAGGAATAAATTGGTGTTTGTGCTCTCCATTGTCCTCTCCCATTTGCAGCTGGAAGATGTAGAGTGGGAGGACTGGGAATGAGGGGAGCCAGAGCAAGCAGCTCCCCCTCCCACAGCACCTCCCATTTCCCTCGATCGTCTCAGCCCAGCCCTGGAAGACACTGACCAAGAATGTCCCCCAAGTGGCCTCTCAACCAGAGCTCTAGGCACAGATTCTGAGTTGCTTCTTGCTGGCCCTGTGGGCCTCTGCTCACATCTGGGAAGGGGCTCACAAACCAAGAACTCTGACTTGTGCCAACCATAGGATGACCTAAGGGGGAGGAAACCTGCCCCCTCACCGGAAGAGCCTACATTTCTATGCTGAATACCCTGTTCCTGGGGACTCTTGCTGGGAAGTCCCAAGGAATAGCTCCATCCCTCCTTCCTGTGTGGACAGAAGCTGAACCACCAGTCTCTTGGAAGAAGCCACGTCAACACACTGTCCACCCGTAAGCAGGCAAGGAAAGACATGCCACCTGCCATTGGCTAGATAGGGATGGCAAACAGTTTGGTTCTTATTCCGGTGGGTAAGAGACGTTTGATTCTGGGAAATTAGCCTCTCTTGGGAATCTCCCCTTCCCAGGCATTTCCATTCCCAGTAAGGTTCCTTGTGGTTCAGAATCTAGAGACCAAACCCTGAGTTCCCATCTCCTCTCATCCAGCCCAGCTGGAATGTCCCCAACACCCTTCCCAGGGCTTCCTTATGTCAGATGCACCCAAGTCCTTAGCCCAGCTGTGCCACCTGCAAGACTCTGCTCTTGCTTTTCTCCCCCTCCCCACGAAGGGAGGGGCCACTTCAGGCCCTTCTGTGCGATGCCTGGCGGGGTACTTTGTCCAGCCAGCTACCCACCTCAATTCACCTGGATCTTAGGACATAAGCCAGCTCGCAGTGGTACAGAGCAGTGATCAAAGCTGAGTACTTACAACTCGGGTAAGCCCAATTTCTCTGCCTCAGCCCTTCTGCTTCTAGAAGGGAGCTCTTCTGAAAAAGGCTTCTGAGAAAGCTCCTCTTGAAGGCAGACCCGTCTTTGTCTCTCACCCTCCACTCTGCTAAAGCTGCACCTCTCTGGGGGAATGCAGGGCTGCAGGAATCCCTGGAGGCCCTGGTGCTTAGTGCTGCTCTGTATTCTAGTACATAGTCTGGTGTTCACCGATGATTTCATGGGAGCGTGGCTGGGATCCCAAGGAGTGAGGGGGTGGGGCGGAGAGAATGCGGAATCTGTTGGATGGGATGGGGTTTTTCTCTTTGTAATTATTCCTTTAGTTTAATTAATCTTTTGGTTGTTTGTGCAATATTATATATTTTAAATTATAATGCATCTCCCCAGAGTATTTTGTAGCTGGGAAAAGAAAAAAAGGAGAAAAAAAAAAGATTCTAACAGCTGTTAGTTTTGTAATTAAAAAAGAAAGAAAAAAGAACTTTGTCCTGAACCTTTTCCAGACTTGTCGTTAACAGCATTAAAGAGATTCACCAGAAGCTGGAAGATGTCTGGGGGTCTGTTCTTCTCCCCCATGGCAGCTGGGGCAGGACATTCACGATGTGCAGAGTGGCTTCCTGCTTAGAACCTTTGGGGGGGGGGGGGGCGTAGCCTGGGTTCTGAGGAAGTCCTGTCCTCATCTCAGACTCAACTTGGCCTTCGGAATGAGGAAGGGGCAGGACTCCCAACAGGCTTCTCACCAAGACTAGAAGTTAGAGGCCAATTCTGCATTCCCGGTGCTTCTGCTTTTATTTGGAAAGGAAGTAGCGACAACAGTGGCTCTGATTGCTCTTGGTCATTGTTCTCTCCTCCCCCTGTATGTGTATGATTCTGGGGTCTAATTTCATTAACTTTAGTTAAATGCCCATATGAAAATCACTTGTCAGTCATAATAAAAGGGAACTCTGAATGAGGCCCTCTGGTTCCATGCAGATCTTTAAAGGGGAAGAAAAGTAAGGCGGGGAGGGTGTAGGTAAGTTTTAGGATAAGTAACTTAAAGTGTAAAATATATATCACCAGTTTAGAAGCGGGTTTTTGGGTTTGCTTTCTCCCCTGCTTTATTGGGGAGGACTTGCCATTGCTTTTATGAAGTGCTTGCTAGCCATGGATGCCAACTAACTTCTTCGATTGAAGGCCGGAGGCTCATGTCTGGTTCCAGCAGCTGCTTGAGCAAGTCCTGGCATTCGGCCGAGATGCCCAGGTGAGTGGGGAAGGACACACCCTTCTGCTGCTGCCACAGCATCTTGGGAATGTCGGTGTCATCAAAAGGTAGGCTGGCGCAGAGCATGACGTAGAGGACGACGCCCATGCTCCAGACATCACCCTTCTTGCTGTCGTGGGGGATGCCCTGCAGCACCTCGGGGGCGGCGTAGGCGGTGCTGCCGCAGAAGGTCTGGCTCAGCTCCCGGCGTGACTTGGGCAACACCTTGGCGAAGCCAAAGTCAGTCAGCTTCAGGTTGCAGCCCTGCAACAAGGCGTTCTCACATTTAAGATCCCGGTGGGCCACGCCACGGCCATGGCAGTAGCGGATGGCCTCGACCATCTGGCAGAAGAGGGCCTTTGTTCGGCTCTCGGGCAGTGGCCCCCCGTTCAGCACGCAGTCAAATACATCCCCTCCCTCAGCCAGCTCCATCACCAGGTAGATTTTCCCATCAGCAGACTCCAGCATCTCGTACACCTGGATGATGTTCTTGTGGTCCAGGGTACGAACGATCTGGAGCTCCCGAGGCAGGAATCTCTGGATAAATTCTGAGGAGACAAGGGGAGAGGAGGGCATCAGCCCCGAAGAGCCTACTCCTCCCTCCCGTCTCCTGCCTTCCAACATTCCTGCCCACCATGTCTGGGGCTGGTGCCTTCTAGTCACAATGTCAAGTTCCCTTTAACAGTTTTAAACATCTGGATGCTTGGACTGTACAAAAAATAGTCATCTTATTTTTGTAGTTAATACATTATTCAAAGGAACTACACGTCAACCTCAAGGACTGTTGGGAACAGCCTGTGAGACCATGGATACCCAAGTGCTTGGGGATTGTTGGAGCCACTGAAGCTCCTATTCTGAGGCCTGATTTGCCCCCAGTGTGGTGACCCAGCTCCCCTCACCCCTGCCTCCTGACCCACAGTTCTTTCCATGAGCCTGGCCCTTTTCCCATCTCTACCACCTCCACACCAGCCCCTGCCCTCTGGGAGCCCTGATCATGGCCTCAGCTGATCTCTGTTCCCCTGATGGGCTTGGGTTCTGCCTCTGAGGACCTGTCACCTCCTGCCACGTTAATCTTAGATTTTGGAGGGTGTGATGTTCCTGGACCTCCAGCATCCCTCTCTGTTCCCCACTGACCTACTCCAGAGCCACAATGGCTCTTGCAGTGATCCTTCTGACTGGAGGAAGCCCTCACCCACCTCCGCCAGCCCGTCCTCCCGCCGAAGGGGCCCCAGCTCACCTTCTGGCCCTCCCATCTTGTCTATAATTTTAATTGCCACCTTTCTTTGGTGTTTTTTGGAAAATGCTTCTTTGACTTTGGAGTAGGTCCCTTCCCCAATGGTCTTGCCGAGCTGGTACCCATTGGAGAGCAGAAAGTCCTCCATGCTGTGTAGCGTCTCCTTCCTCTCACCCTCTCAGCTCATGCTGCCTCTGTGAGGCAGCTCTACTCCACCATAGCCCTTGGCCGGGTCCCTTTCTCCCCAAGGACTTCATCCACAGCAGCCCCTATCGCTAGAACATTCAGCCGCAGATGGTGGGGAGGGAGAGGGCCAGACATGTTTAAACTCCAGCCCAATTGTGATGTAAATGTGTGACCCTTGGCCAAAATGGATAGTGCCCCTACCTGCCCTCACCAGCACCAGCACCCAACCCAGCACCGGCTGAGCATCGCTGCGCCCCCACCCCCGAGTCTGGCGGTGAGTTGCAGCCCAGCCCGGCGTGGAGGCGCCCTCCGGACTGTCCGCGCTGCCCAGATGCCGGGCTCCTCGTCCTGGACGCCACCGGGTGCTGGAGCCGCCGGCGCCCCCATCGGGCCGCTGGGGGTCTGCGCCACCCAGGCTCCAGGCGCCATGGCAGGAACCCACCGGCTTCCTGCTCGCGGTGGGTGTCGGGCGGCGGGAGGGTTCCCTGGCGGGAGGAACGGGTTCTGTGAGGTCAGCACGCCCGGCCCGGGTCACAATGCAGCCCGCCCCCTCGACGCCCGTGTCCGCACGCGCCGCAGACACCTGCCCGGCTCCGCCTGGACCGGAGCGTCCTTCCGCGGCCGGGGCTCAGGCAGCTGCGTCCAGCCTGGGACTGGCCTCGGCCTCCAGCAGGTGAGGGGCGGCCCGGGGCGGGGACGCGGGGAGGGAGCGCCCGGCGGTCCGCACGCGTCCTGACCGGCCCTCCCCGTGCAGAGCGACCCGGGGCCTGGACATGAGTGCCCAGGAGCCCCCTCAGGGTCGGAGATTTCCCATTGAGGCCGGAGACTCCCCTGGCCTTGCCGCCACCCCCGAGTCCCAGGACAACCCAGAGCCGGTCGCTACGGAGCACAACCGGGTCAGGTGAGCCGGCGCCCTGCCCGCGGCCCCCCCTGCGCTCGGGTCGTCCCTGTCCCAGCGGGTCTTGAGCAAAAAGCCATCCCCAGACCGCCGCCCAGGTAAGGGCCCCACGTCCACGCCCAACCCCGGAGACCCAGTGCACCCCGCGGATGGGTCCCCAACAGCGCCCCCTGTCGCACTGCTCCCCTCAGGCCGCTTCGCCGCTGCCCGGGCTGCCACTGCCTGACGCTGCTGCACGTGCCCATCGACGTCTACCTGGCTATGGGCGGGAGCCCCCGGGCCCGCGCCACCTGAGTGCGCCTAGCACGTCGCGCGCGCCGAGCATGAGACAATGATGCACATTTTAAAATAAAGAATGATGCACATTTTAATAAAGCACAGCATAAACTGTTCTTTCCACTCCGGGCTGGCCGTGTGTGTCTGTCCCGTCGGATTGGGCCGCGGACTTCTCTGCTTCATCCCATAGTACCTTCCCTGAGGCTGCCTCCTGCCTTGGGTCCTCCCAGCCCCAGGGCTCTCCCTTCGGTTCACTCTCTCCTGGCCGGGTGCCCACCCTTGCCCCTTTTCTGGCTAGTCATGCATGACCCCTTCTCTGGCAGCCTTTCCTCTCGGACCCTTTCCCCTTATCCTTCCTCCCCCCCGCCCCTCTCTTGGTCTCCAGTGGAAGTTGTGTTACTGTGCTCCCGGGCCTAGATAAGCTCGGGATTGGAGGGGGTGGGCAGACAACTTGAATAAAGAGAATGCCCGCCCACACCAGGCCCATTCAATTCTCCCAAGATGCACTTGGGTTTGCTACCTGCTGCTTTGTGACCTGGGCATCTCTGGTTTTATTGGAAGACTTAGGGGCTGCCTCTATTTTGACCCTTGGTTTCTCCTAGAACCGGTGGGACCAGAAAAAAAGATTGGGAAATAGGTCATTTGAAAAACTGATTTCTTATTCCTACTTTACAGGTGAGGAAACAGCCTTGAGAGCCATGCTATCCTACTCCTGTCCTCAGACTCAATACCCTGAGAGCCACCCACAGGAAGGGCCCATGACAGGAAGCTGCCTGGGAGTGTAGTATTTAAGCCGAACAAGTATTTTCCACTTTCCGATTTTGCTTTAATGAACCTATATTATTTTAATATTGGAAAAATATATGTAAGCCAAAGATCAGGTTCAGTCTCCTGAGATCTAAGTACAACTGACTTAATTCCCCTCCCCTAATCACAGAGGGTAGAAGGCCAGCTGTCCTCAGAGCACTTCAGAATCCCACGGCCACCTGTACGGTGGCTTCTCGACTTCCACACAAATGCTCCCCGAGGCAGTGCCAAATGTGGGAAGCTTACTGAAGGAGAGGATGTTGACCAAAAGGTCTACTTTGAAGTGAAGACTTTACGTGACCATTCGGCTCCTGGTCCTTTAAGACAGTGGTCGCCCACCGGTCGTCCATGAGGTCCAAAAGGTTGGCGACCGCTGCTTTAAGACGTCCTGATTCTTGAAAGCCCCCCACACCTATCTTTCCCCTCCACCATGGTAACACCCCTGCATCAGGCACTAGTGCTGGCTTTCCCCTCCTCCTCCACTGCTCTCCTCCACCCGTCCCTCCTGGAGAACCCCTCAGGGACTCCCAGTTCTGTTAGGTGGGACAATCCAGCTCTTTCCATCCCCACCAAGCTTAATGTCGGCCCTCTGCAGCCTAACAACCCATGCTGCTGCTCTGCAGAAAAAGGGCCTCGTTCCCTGTAACCAGTGCTCACCTCCTTAGGAGGATATTTTCATTTTAAGGGAGAAAAAAATTACCAGGCTCTGTATTGATAGGGTCTCACCATTGAGAGCAACTGAAGGTAGCTTGAGCAAAAAGGAATTCGTTATTTTGAGTGCCTTGGAAGGATATAAGTAGTGATTAAAGCAAGAACTGTAGGAACCAGGGCATCTGTCTGGCTATAACCAAGGATTCAGCTCCACCAGGACTGCCCCATTGTTCCTCTCTCATCCCAGATTATCTCCTGGGCAGGCAGCACATCCACAAGCAGCTTAGAAATCCCAAGAAGCGAGAGGTGTTTCTCCCAGTCTCTGTATATCTACCCGTAGAGCAGTGGTTCTCAACCTTGGCTGCACATTAGAATCACCTGGGAATCTTTTTAAAATCCTGATTTCTGGGCCCCATCCTCTGGAAATTCTGTTTCTTTGTTATGGGGTGAGGCCACAACATTAGTAACAAAGAAACAGAATTTCTGGAGGAGAGGCCCAGAAATCAGGATTTTAAAAAGATTCCCAGGTGATTCTAATGTGCAGCCAAGGTTGAAAACCACTGCTAGAGAAACAGCAACTGGCCCTTCTTAAATCATGTGTACACACCTTGGGCCAATTACCATTGCCAGAAAGATGGGAGACTGTAACTGACAGGCTGGGCCACAGGTAAGCCTTCCCTTGAGGTGTAAGCAAGCCCAGCCAGGTGATTGACAGCATCACCAGAAAATAATGGGTAAAGATGGAGAAAGAAACAGACCAGGAGCAGAGACAGCTTATGCCAAGATCAGAAGATTGGTATGTCTGGGAGCGAAAGAGGCCAGAAAAGAAAGGGTAAAGACTGGCAGGGCCAGGGTGACAACTCTCTTCTGTGGCAATGAGGAGCCTTGGGCAGGATGACCAGGTGTCAGGCCTCTGGGTTCTAGTTCAGGCTCTGTCCCTGGCACAGACAATACAGGTCCCCCAGGCCTGTGCAGGGCACTGCAGATTCAGTGGTGAACCTGACCGAGTCTGGCCTCGGCCCTCACAGAACTCACATGGCTACCAATGAACCACCAGAAGGCCTCACTCAGGCAAGCCCCTTCCCTTAGGGCCTCTTTCCCCACTGATTTAAAAAAAAAAAAAAAAAAAAGCCGAAACCGGTTTGGCTCGGTGGATAGAGCGTCGGCCTGCGGACTGAAGGGTCCCAGGTTCGATTCCGGTCAAGGGCATGTACCTGGGTTGCGGGCACATCCCCATCCCCGGTGGGGGATGTGCAGGAGGCGGCTGGTCGATGTTTCTCTCTCATCGATGTTTCTCTCTCATCGATGTTTCTGACTCTATATCTCTCTCCCTTCCTCTCTGTATAAAATCAATAAAATATATTAAAAAAAAAAAAAAAGGCACTGGCTGATTTCTTTGGACTTTGCCAGCCCTATAATGCTGAATCCTTCCCATCTTGCCTTCTCCCATCTCTCTTACTTCCGTTGTCCCATCTTCTCAACATTCCTTTCCTTAAAAAATATATATATATAGTGAGGGATGCAAAGATTCCAGACACACACCTTGCCAAGACCCTGGAGCCAGTTCGGTCTAGAATGTCCGTGAGTGGGGCATTCTAGGTGGAAGGAGCACTGTGACAAAGGCAGGAGGCAGAAAAGTGCAGGGCAAGTTCAAGGAATTCAGTTCAACTTTCACCAGTACCTACCTGGGCCACACCAGGTGCTGAGAGCCCAGGCCTGAATCTGATCACGTGCCCTTGCAGAGCTCAGATTCAGGGGATCCAGGGATGAAGTCACAGGAGAGAAGCTGGACTGAGACATTGAGTTTGAACTTTGTTTTGTGGGCGACAGGGAGCACCACAGGCTCCAATCTGGATCACTGCTCTTTCCTACTTCGCATCATCTCCATTCTGTCCTCTGCCGCTGGTTCTTCTTTCCCACGGAAAAAGTCACTGGCCTAAATTCTAGTCCTGGGTTTGAGTCCTGACTACCATTTACAAGCTGTGCAACCTTGGGCTAGTTACTTAGCCTCTCTGAGTCTCCTCTCTGAATCTATGAGATTAATGACACCTGGTGGGAGGTTTCAGTAGTCATGAGTACAGCACCAGGTGGAATCTCTGGCATAGCTAGCACTTGAAGACCAAGAGAGGCTGATGCTGCTCCTGCAGTTGGCTTCAAGGGGCAGCAGAGAGCCGGCCAGCCAAGTCCCCAGGGACTGGGTGATACCCAGCCGGGGAGGGGCTTGGGGAAACCCTCTTGCCTTCCTCTGCCAGCTTCCCAGCAGTTCTGCTCAGAAGCCTACGAACTTGGTAGGGGGGCATTTCCAGGGGAATCCCCAAGTGGTAAAAGCAGAGTTGCCTCCCTCACCCTGATCCCAAAGCAGGACCCCAGATCCCAGCCTTACTGTCTGGACCTGAGGAATGGGGAGGGGCCCAGGGAAAAGGCGATGCTTGACTCACTGCCTTCCCTTATTCTCTCTCAGACACCTTATTAGCCAGCCCCTCCCTAAGGATTCCTTTTAGAGGGAGGGGGTGAAGTACAGATGGACCCCCAGGTTACCATGGAGATGGCAGGGGAAGGGTTGCTATGTCGTCATGGCAACGATTGACGTCAGCACCATCTTTTCCCATTGCTTGATATGAAACGGGGGCAGCTACCCCAACCACAAGCAAGTTCCCATAAAACCTTCTCCCCTTACTGAGCCAATCAACCAGGGGTCGACAGGCTTAATATAGTTCAGGAGTTAAAAGCACAGACTTTGATGCCCGTCAAACCTTAGTTCCAATCCTCCTCCTGCCTCATCTTAGCTGTGCGAATTCCTTAAACGCTGGAAGTCTCCTATGTACAATGTGGTTACATAAGCTGGGGAACTCCAGGGTTCGTGTGAGGATCCCAATCCTGGAGAATCATGCTGGCAGTGGGCAATGGGCCAACTCGTGTGAAGTCACACTGATGTCAGGGACTGTCCAGAGTCCTGACAGCAGGGGATGATGGACCTTCAGCTATAGACTCTCAGTCCCTAGAAGGCTCCTGAGACTTCCAAGGACTGGGTCCCTGAGATTGAGCATCTCAGAATTTGGGGGTCAGAGTGGAGCCAGAGACAGTGGAATTTCCAGACTCTGAGGAAACCCCAGATATCACTTTCCCTGAAACCCCATCACATCTGGACTCTGACCCAACTTGCCTTTTGTCCTCCCCTCTGCCTCATCTGGGTCTCCTTAGCAGCCTCCTCCTCTTGGGCCTCACCTGCTCCTCTAGGAAAAATGATGAATGAGGAGCAGCTGGGAAGACTCAGGAAACCCCAAACCAGGTAGATCAGTGAGTTGGACACCACAGGGATATGGGTGTCCCAGCTCCCATGCCTCTCCCCACCCACCCTTGGGGTAAGGGCACCAGAATCATTTTCATTCCCTCTCTCTTTCCCAACCCCAGTCCCAATGACCACAGTCCAGTCTGCCACCCCTCCAAATCAAGCCCTCATTGCTACTCATCTGGATTACTCCATCAGCTCCTAACCAGCCCCTCCGCTTTCTTCCTCGCTTGATTCCTCCAGTCTGGACTTGTTTTATAAAGACCACAAACCCAGCCATGTCATTCTCCTACTGAAATCTCATTCGTGGCTTCTTTACATCACTTGTCCAGCCACTGGACACCCCTCAGCTCTTCACTAAACGTTTTTCCCACCT